GCACAGAAGAGAAACGCATCAAACAAACTCGAACCAGCGACAAAACCCTTTGGAATTATCAAACAAATAAATAAAAAAAACATCAAAAGGGAAAAAATTTAATCAAAAAAAAAAAAAAAAAAAAAACTGCAGGCGTTTTCCGTCAAACTTTCAACATTTAGCAAGGAGTCATAACGAAGTTGTTGCTGGAATAGCCACCATATTGAATTTCATTGATACTGAGTGTTTCTCCGCGTTTCTCCGTGTTTGCGGGTGTGTTTCTGGGCCTCATCCCTAGCGGTAAGCGGTAAACCTGACACTAAAGGTCTATAATATTTACTAACCTCTGGTCAGAGCTTGGCATGGTGAACGTGACGGGGACGTAGATGAAAAAGGTCAACAATGCTGGGAAACCTACAAAACCAAATGTAATGAGAAATTCATATCATAGGCCATTTCTTCTTCATCTCCTAGTTTCGATCCCAGATCCCAGGACGGAATGCAGCTCAATTTGGAGAACATAACAATAGGTTTCCAATTCTCAGGATATTTGAAATTGTTTTGTTTTGTCCTCCAAATTGAGTTGCTTAGACGTCACACGTAAGGGGTCTATTTGAATGGTCCACCCAACCAGAGATCTATTGGCTACTGAAACAAAGAGATCTTAATTTGTTTTTTGGGTGGCAAATTTGAAAACATGTTTTCTCAAAAAACCTCCACCAGCTTTTGTATTAGAAGCGAGGCCCAGTTTTCTTGAACACTTTTGCGCATGCGCACACGTTTTGCAGCCCTGTCATAGCTTGACTCACCCCATCCCCACGTTAATAAATGCTTGTGCTGTAGTCTTGTGTCAAAGACGTGGGTAATTCTTCGTAGTAGGACTATAGCTTCATTCAACATCCACGTGACTTCAGCTACAGCAAAGTATCGATTGAAGACCCAGAATGCGTTGCAGAGACCCTTTGAAAAAAACCATGCATATTATTATTATTATTATTGGTTATTTTCTATATGCACTGAGTCGAAATATGGCAACTGTTAAAAATGGCAAATGGCAGAATTTGTTGTCCAAAGCTCTAATCATTTTAAGATGATGGACAACATTTTCCTAATTTACTAATTTATATCAGTGGTTTTGGTTAGCAGATGGACCCCGAAATACGTCATAACTTAACAGCTCTATTGCATTTGCGCTTAGCTTTATGCGCTCCAAGTGCGCATGCGTCAAGCCTACAATGTTGAGTAAGTTGCACTTGCTCACGCGTTCAACATTTCCCGCCTTAACTTTAGATAATTTCATTACTTTGCTTAAACATCATCAAAAACATAATTGTTCGTTTTATCAACCATAAAATTTAATAAATATGATTTATGGTTGATAAAACGAACAACGAAAAATTATGAATTTCACAACAACCAACAGGAGTACCCAACTACCCAC